TATAATGCATATCACAATTATTTGTACTATATATTATAATATAAAAAATTAATATAGAAAGCCATTTTGCAATTACTATTCACAAGCAATTTATATTAATATAAAATAGCATTTATTATTATATCATAATATTTATATTAAGCAATTATACTAACATTTTTCCATTATGTTTACATATAATACTAATTAAAAGGTAAAAATATGATGTTTTTAAACAGGAACTGAAGCAACAAAAAATCATTATCAACAAATAATATTACCTTATCTACTATTTCTTCTGAAATCTCCACCATGCTCACGTCTACAACTACGCCTACATTTATGACTATGGATTTGGTCTTGACTTAAAGAATTATTTAATAAATTTGCACCAATTTTATTTACATAATTTGTAGAATTATTATGAGGAAAATGAAGTTCGCAGGTTATGTATTAAGCATCTTGACCTCGTTTAGTGCTAATGTATTAGTAAGGTGAGGATAATTATTGCATTTTAGAACATTAATAATATGAATTCTTATGGTTGTTGTGATGAAAAATCTAAAAACATCCACACTATCAGTATCATTCTCCTACCATTCTTCAGTAATTTGAGCTATCGGACTCTTAATGTATTGAAAAATGACAGTATCATCTACGTATAAAGTCAAATCTTCAACATTTGGTAAATTATTGATAGTAGTACTAAAATAAAATAAATAGTTAATTAACTACAAGAATAAAAATAAAAGATTTAGATACAAGATTACCTGTTATTATTAATGTAATCTTCAGCATAGACCCTGGCTTCAGTGTTTAAATGGGTCCGGTGATCTGTAAAATATGAATCTAATTTCATTTTGAAAAAGAACATCATCTTACTATTTTCAGAAAATCCTGAAGCTATTAATTTCAACAATGTATCATACGCAATAGTTGAAGGATCACGTGATCTCAAAAATAAAATCTTTGCTTCATTGACTAGAATCGCTAACATATTCAGTATTGCCTATAAATAAAAGCAAATACAATAAATAAACATAATAGTTATTAAAATAACTGTAAATAATAATCCATACATACACAATTAATTGAACTATCTTTTTGAACAATTTGCTTGTTTAAATCCAGTTGGATCTCACTTAGTGACTCTTTTTGTTCTGAAGGTTTGTAACGTAAAATAAATTTTTGCTTTACAGAATTACTAGAATCTTGATGGATATCAGAGCAATCATCTATAAAATCATTTGAATTATCAGTTTTTTCTACGTAATTATTGACAAGGTAATAGATTGTTATTTTATTATTTATGATTATAGATTTTAAATACTAAAAACTTCAAATAATGTCTTATCGAGATCATTGATATGAGATTTTTTATCATGATGTTTGGAAGAAGATTCTTCTGTATCATGCGTAAAAGAAGATTCTTGTATGTCTCAAGTATCATCTACGCTTTGATTTCTAGAACTCTTACTATAAGTCATAACAGAAGAACTTTGATCTCGATTACTATTTACACTTCAATTTCTATTATAGGTTGTAACAGGAAAACTTAAAAAACCTCAAGTATTTTCTTGTATAGTATTGGTTACTTGATTTGCATTTGTAGCAGGTAAAATTCTTTGATTTATGGTTTGACAAGTTGTAACAGCTGAGATATCATTTTGAATATATTGAATTCGATTTATATTTAAAGTTTTAAGTGAATCTTGATTATGGATTTTAATAAATGAATCTTGATCACAAATTTTAATAGGAGAACCTCGATTATAAGTTTCATCGAAAGATTCCTGAATATCTTTATCTTGATCAATGTCTATGTGATCTTCATAATCATAGTCTTCGTAAACATCATCTTCATGATCCTCAGATTGTTTTATAAATCTTGTAGTTTGACGAGTCATACCACCTTAAGCATGACTAGTAGTTACGCCATTCTTAGAACTTGTAGACCAACGAGTCATAACACCTCTAGCTCAACTATTATTAGGTCTCTTGGTTCTTTCTTGAGGCATCCTTAATTAATGAAGATTAAACGATTTAATTATCAAAATTTATATTTACGTTTTTTTTAAAAAAAACTTGAACAAAAAAAAAAATCAATCATTTTTAAACTTAAATTTCAATTACATAATATTGTACAATTAAATTCAACAATTAATGGGAATGTTCATGTTAATTAAAATGATAATATTGTGATATCAGTGATGATTATTGATTAGCTACGTTAAAAAGTGATTTTTTAAGATTTTTTAATAAAGTGGTTTTTTACTTTTTAATAGTGATTTTTTAAGATTTTTTTAAGTGATTTTTTTTTAAATTGATTTTTTTTTTCTTAAAA